AAATGTCATCTAAAACTTGAAACCCCAAGAGTGGCACAAGCCATTGTTTGAAACACCAATATCCCATTTCAGAGTATCAAATCTTGTCCTCTCTGCTTCAGATCCAGCTTCTTGCTGATGCAACCTGCGAGGATGTAGCTGATGACTCACATACTTGGGTCTCTGCCACCTATGTGTGAAACCTAGCAGGAGTTTCAGGCCCCTGACTTCAGCATGACCCTGTTCTGGCTACACAAGCATTTGGCATTCAGAAAGTAAAGAAGAGGGCTTCTCTCTCTCTCTCTCTCTCTCTCTCTCTCTCTCTCTCTCTCTCTCTCTCTCTCTCTCCTTGCTTCCTCCCTCTTTCTCCCCTCCCGCCCTCAGTCCATCTCTCCTTCCCTCCATCTCTCTCTCTCTCTTGTATTCTACCTTCCTAGTAAAATACTTGATTTGCTACCTCAGCTATGTATTCAAAAGGCCATTTTAGTGCTCTATGAACAAACAGCTTCCAGGCAGGAAAGTTGGCCATCGCTAGTATGCCAGTGAATATAACAGAGAAAAACAGAGTACAGGGCTTGGACTGCTCAGGTCTGTAGCCAGATAAAGAATCAGAAATCTTCTATGATTGTCACTTCAAAAAATTTTTCCAGCTGGGTTTATAAAACTGAAATTTTTGAAAATTAACTCCCAAATGTACTATGTGCATAGCTGAATTATAATGCCATGTTAACTTCCAAACCTGCAGGACCTGTCTAAAAAAAAACAAGAAGAAAGAAGGCATTAATTAGGGTGGAGAACCTAGAAAAGAATGATGGAGTCACATGAGCAGATTTCAGTAAATTTGAAAACTCAAACCCCTATATTTTTCTCCTTTATCTGAGAAGTCCAATCACTCCTTCCCTGCACAGCCTGGAATGGACTCAACTCAAGCAGTTTCTCTGCAAGGCACAGCCAATCCCACAGATGGCCCACCCCCAGCCTTTCTGATTGCTTTCAAACCTAGCAAGTGAGTCAAGTCTTAGCAGGCCCCACTGAGTGAACACACCGGTGAGGTGTGCTGCAAGTCAAAATCCTAATGTCACTAAGAACATGGGTTTATGCATCCGTAAACTTCGTAGATTTAACCAAATTGTATTACATATATTGTATTGGTTTTTATTCCCATCATCATTTTGCAGAGATCATGTTTCCCCAATGACTCAGCAATAGTTCTTGTCTAGGAATTTTGCTAATGGACAGATCGAATGTGATACCTCAAAATAGTTTACATTTTTCTCACTACAAATTAGACTGAATGTCTTTCCTGTGACTTGTATATTCATATTCTTACCTTTTTCCTTTATATTTTGTGGAGATTAAACTCTATGATAGAGGTGACAGATATTTTCCACTTGTTTCATTTCCAGTAAATTTTTGCATGCAGAATTTTTTAATGTGTTCCTTTGAGAGAGAAAGTGAGAGAGAGTTCGTGTATGTGTTACCTCAACTGCTAGTTTACTTCCTAAAAGCCTGCAATGGCAGAGAATGAATCGGAGTGGGTCAAGAGCCCGGGAATCCAATCAAGGTCTCCCCCATGAGTGGTAAATACCCAATTACATGGACAATCACCTGCCATCTTCCAGGAGAAGGAACAGGAGCTGGAAATTGAACCCAGTATGTCAATATAGCATGCAGGCATCCCAGCTGGAATGTTAACCTTAAATGTGTGCTTTACAAAATATCAACTTCTATGCATTCATTTTGCTTGTCACCACCATGTTAAGTTCTTATTGTTCCATAGTAGGTTTCCTGATGATGTTGATTATTCATTTTCATCTCTTCTACAGAGTTCTAAAGCTCTAATTTCTTGCTTTAGCTTACTACATTGCATGCGTGTTTCCACCACTTAAAAGCAAATAGAGGTTCATTCTGTTAATAGTCTTGCAATTTGTAAGAATGTCTCTTCGGGACTGGAGCTGGTATAGTGGTAAAGTGGTAAATACACACTATAGTGGTATAGTGTGTAAAGCCACTGCCAGCAGTGGGGGTGAAATATTTTATGGTACCAGCTCAAATCCTGATTACTCTACTTCTGATCCACTCCTGCTAATGTGTCTGGGAAGCAACAGAAGAGAGGTCAAATACTTGGGTCCCTGCATCCATGTGGAGGAAGCTTCTGGCTCCTGGCTTTTTATTGGCTTAGCTTGGTCCTTGCAGTCATTTGGGGCAGTTAATCAGAATTAGGAAGATAATGAACTAAATAATATTAAAAATTAAATAAGATTATGATAAATGAAGACATTCCAGTATGACAGGGAAGGCATCTCAGGTTACGCACATTAATCTAAATTTGAAACCACATAGGACTCTCTCAGAATTCAAGCAGTGAAAGAAAGCATCATTGCTATATTACGGAAGTCCCTGAATCCAAGCTTAAGGGCTCATGCTTCTCGTAATGGGCAATTGAAAGTATTAAGGCATGGGTTAAGTGATCAGATTCACACCCTCGTATTAATCTGGTGATGGTAATTTCTGTTGGGCTGGGGTAGACAGGATCATGCAGCATGTAGTGTAGACGAAATTCAAATGAGAGGATGAAAGAGGTGGCTATTCTATAAAATCATTCAGAGAAATGAGAAGACAGAGGACAGAGGCTGGTGTCACTGCAGAGGCTAAAAACTGCAAACAGGTGTTACTGATTGGGTACAAGGGCTGAGCAGAGAAGAAGGAAAGAAAAGTGCCTCAAAGGTCATAATCCAGTAGTAGATTCAGGAGACTAGAAAGGAAAAGAGAGAATGGAAGGTAAGTCAACCTATTCTGGATTTTCTAAGTGTACTTAGTGAAAAATACTGCGGTATCAGCAGATGGTAACATACAGTAAGTGGAAGACAGATTTATGATTTAGAGGAACACCAAGGTTATGTTACTTTTACTCAAGGAGAGTGTAACTGAGGTTATGTAAACATAGAGAATAATATCAGATATTGTCTCAATGGAAAAAGAGGGCTGGCGACAGAAGAACCAAGGAGTAGGAGGATGGGCATAAAAGCAGCCCAGTGCACTATCCTGGTTGCCAAAAATAAACGGAAAAGCTTATGAGTGAGTAATAGTAGGTGATATTACTTTTTTAAAAAAGTCTTCCACAAACAACAGGTAGCATTTTGGGGGGGGGGGGGGAACTTCCAGTGATTTTTAAAAAGCATTTGACATCCAGGGAGGCAATTATAGCAAAGACAGGAGGATGAGGGTTGGGGGACAGTACCACATTAGCGACTGGTATTCTTGGAGAAATACGTTTTTGGCAGAATGGAGAGCAGAAAAGTGTTGCACTGGGCCATGGGAAGACTTGCAGCAAGGATGTTTGATCCATTGAGGGGTACAAGAAATGAGGGAATGCTTTCTCAGAATAAGAATTTTAGAGAGACATTGATTAAAACAGGGAAGGCTCAATTGGAGACCATTATGCTCAGTGCAATAAGCAAAACCCTAAAGGACAAATATATATTCTCTCTGATATAAGGCAATGTTGATACAAAATGTGAAACAAATGGAGATATAGGTGAACAAGTATATACTTATATTCCCACAGATGAATATATAAATGAACTGTATAATGAAAGCTAGCATACCGGAGAGTGAAGATATCTGACAAAATGCATTTCTACTCCCAGTGGAACAGTTAAATACACCTCAATAATATGATGCTGGATTTTCTGTCTTTGTCCATTGCTACAATACCATGGTACACATGGGTAGCAGAATGTTGAACTTGTATCTTGGTGCTGGAAGAATATCCTGCTGTATATTAATAAGTATTAATAAAGTAGGGGCGGAGAAGATGAGAAAGGAGGGGGACAGGAAAGGAGGGAATTCCTAAACCTACACAATTTTATCATGGAAAATAATAAAAATAATTATTTTTTAAAAAAAAACAAGGAAAAGTAGGAAAGAGACAAAGTTTGAGAGCACATGTAGAAGTGGAAAATTTTGCCTGAATTTGGAGATACAAAGCAGACAGGAAGGGCTGAGTCCAGGGATACAAGCGCATGAGCCTTGAAAAGCAAAAAGCTGAGATCTGCCTCCTGATGCAGAGAGGTGAAAAAAGAGAAATGAGGCTGGCAAATGTTGCAGGAAAAAGCAGGATCTGAGCAACCTTGGTTTGCATGGTTTGGGGGATATTTGAGCCTCAGGAAGTTATGGAAAGAGTTGAGAAAAGCAGTTCACTCATTCACACCAGGAGTCAATTTCTTCTTTAGCTTTATATTTCTGTCAGAAACAGCTGAACTTAACCATGACAAAATTTTCAGTACATCCTCAATATTAACACTATAGGAGTTACATCTGGACCTATGGACCTTTACAGTTCCATAATAAGCCAACAGGTCAGGCTAATGTAAAGAGTACAACAATATAGAAATCATCGAGCCCAAGCACCAGAGGATTCTTAGAAGGCTGTCGGAACATACAAATCCCAGACAATACAGACTGCCACACATGCACAGATTACACCATTGTTGTATGCGAAAAATACAGACACGAGGAACCATTTCTGCCTGGAAGGAAAGAGATCTTCACCACTATAGATGACCAGAAAATTAGGTAGTGATAAAAACAAAGTAGTGATTTGCAGGAAGAAGACAGAGGAAAACTAGGGCTTGAAAAGTCTTCTTTAGTCTAATTCAACAGGTGAAATATTGCACGATGTGTCAGGATCTTCTCATCTGGATTCCAGCAGAGCAATTTCAAATACAATGTGATGAATTCCAGGGAAAATGAAAGCTTTCTGGTTCTTTGACTGCACCAAGTCCCACAGGGAATGTGGTCATATCAGATGCACTTTTGCTTATTGGATATCAGTGACACTCGCCTGTATTTCAGTGCCCTGGATTGCACTTCAAATCCTATTTCACAGAAGTTGTTCTTCTAATAATTAAATGCAGCAACAGAGAAAATGTTGACTGTGGCAAAGAGAGACGCTTCCCACTGCAACCAAGCCATTTACCTTGTTGCTCCAATGCCTTTGAGGTTTCATCAGCTGCAACTCAAGATGCCCTATTTCTTGAGCAGCAGCCCCTCTCCAGCACCTCCTTCATCTTACTGTTGGTGAAAAGCAGAATTACAGGGTGAAGTGCTGTGCACAGATTAATAAGCACCTGCCACGCCCAGTACCTAAATTCCCGGGATGGAAAAATGCCAGTAGCAGTGAGCACTATGGACAGAGAATAGGAGGTGAAGATGATGGAAAAGGAGATAAGAGCCAGAAGAGCTTTGATGTGGGCCTGGGCACTGGGATCTTGAAATCCCGAGAGAGTCAAGAGGACCTTCTTTGTGTGTCTTCCCAGAGATGTGAGAAGCAAAATCATGCAAGTGAGAAAAATAAGAGTAGGAGCCATCCACGTAATTGCTTTTACAGGGAAAAGATAGAATTTCTCACATGAGTTCCTCATGTCATTCTCAGTGACATTCCAAGATTGTCCAACTGTCCTTAAATAGTTTTGATATATGCTTTGATTGCCTATGAAAAGTAAGGTGGTGCTCAAGCCAGAGAAGCCCACCGAACTGAGCAGCATCCGTGGTACCCACCTAGATACCCTGCATTTTAGCCAGAAGAAGACTGGATGGGTGAAGGTCGCGATTTTCACACAATAGAAGAGGCTGAGCCAGGTGGAGATCCACAAGGTGACCGTATTCAGGAAGTCCCATAGGATGGCTAGGAACTGCAATACAGGGTTGTATGGAAATGCTGTTGGGTTCAGGAAAATATAAACATTTCTACATATCACAACCCACTGCAGGAAGAATCGAGAGGCCCCCAGGCTGACCAATAACTTATCACAAGGCGAAAATGCTCTCCGCAGCAACCACTTCATGCCCAGAGTCGCAGTGAGGATGCCGTTGCCCACCACTGCCACCAGGCACAAAAACAACAAAATTAAAGCCAGGACAGTGATTTTCATATCAACCACTGGATATCCCAGAATCATGAGATTTTCATCCTGCTCATCCGTGGACAAGACGGGTCCCAAGGTTTCAACCGCTGTTTCTGTTGGGCTGCTCTGCAAGGTCTCATATGACATGATTGTCCCTCCAGCTGCTTCAAGCGCAGAGCTGAGGCCAGAATAAAAGATACAGTTTATCAGGGGAAGGTGATGTGGTTTTGTTTTTGTTTTTTGCTTTTTTTTTTCAGAAAAGATGCAAATATTATCCAGGTTCAGTTTCCAAAGCCCCCTTGCCTGTCTGCAAATTTGCCTGCCCACCTGTTTAGGGCCTGCTCATGTCAATATCAAGGTGGATAATGTACCAAGCCCTTGCACTTGGTGTCCTTTCACAGGAGGCTATACTTTTCTAAGCCGACATGTAAGACATGACCACACACCTGCCAGCTGCATAGGAATAAAGCCCATACAGCATGCCTCACCCTGAGAGTCAGAGTTCATGTCCCCAGTGCAAGGTAAGGAAAATGAGCGTGTTTGGTCCCTGGTATAGTTCTAAGTGCTCTCCATAGTAGTTGGTGCTCATAACAACCTCAGGAGATAGGAATTATGAAAACAGCCCTTTGACAGAAAACTGAGCGAAAGCTTTACCGAGGGAGATTCATTCAAATCCTATTACTCCTGGTGTTCATCATCATAAAATAGAACACAGGAAGCAGTTATGTGTACTCAGAAATTGTATAAAATCAGTACACACATATATATACCGATTATATATATATATAAAATGGTGGGATATATATATAGATATATCCATTACTCCATCCCAGATCTCTGAAATCAGTGAAACGTGGCAGGACAATCCTGGACTGAAGGTCAAAGTAGACTTCTCCCAAGCTGCACCCTTTACTGGGAGTTATTGGGCATGTCAGTAAGCCTCTGTGTTGTTTAGTATCCATCTATAAGGTGGGTAAGAGACTATCCATTCTAATCACCTTGTTCTCTTACGACTGAAACTCTAGGCTAAAGGAAGACGGTAAAGGCAATTTTTAAAGATGAAAAAATGAGGTTCAAATTATAGACTAAGACTCCTATTGAAAATTGTGGTGACTGGGCCTGGCGCAGTAGCCTAGTGGCCAAAGTCCTCGTCTTGCACACAGCAGGATCCCAAATGGGCTCCGGTTCGTTTCCCAGCGGCCCTATTTCCCATTCAGCTCCCTGCTTGTAGCCTGGAAAAGCAGCTGAAGATAGCCAAAAGCCTTGGGACCCTGCACCCATGTGGGAGATCTAGAGGCAGCTCCTGGCTCCTGGCTTGGGATCAGCTCAGCTCATGTTTAGGTCTAGAGGTATATGAATCTCATTTAAATTCTAATTTAAAAGCCTTGCCTTGCATGCACCAAGATCCTACACGGGCACCAGTTCATACTTCAATTGCTCCACTTCCCATCCAGCTCCCTTCTTCTGGCCTAGGAAAGCAGCAGAAGATTACCCAAAGTCTTGGGACCCTGCCACCCTTGTGGGAGTCCTGGAAGAAGAGACCTGGAGACCTCCTGGCTCCGGCTTCTGATAGGCTGACCTCCAGCTGTTGTGCCCACGTGGGAAGTGAACCCTTGGACAGAAGACCTTTCTGTCTGTGTCTCTGTAAATCTGTCTTTCCAATAAATATATATATATATATAAATAATTTTTTTTAATAAAATGAAATGAAATCCCAACTTCCCACTGGTTTATCTAGCCTACCTCACTTTTTCTCTCTGGGAATGCCCTGTGTTCTTCACCAGAAATTTGAGAATCTTCTCTTTTGTTTTTTTTTTTTTTGTTTTAAGTTTCTGTTTGTTCATTTGTTAGTTACTTATTTGAAAGGTGAGAGAGAAAGAGATCATTCCACCTACTGGTTTATTCTCAAATGTCAAGAAAAGCCAAGTCTGGGTCCAGCCAGAATCAGGAGCCAGAAGCTGCAGCTGGATGTTTCATGCGGGTAGCAGAGACCCACGTATTTGAGCCATCACCTTCTGCCTCCTGAAATGAACATTAGCATAAGACTGGATCATGAGCACAGATGGGATTCGATCCCAAGCACTCTGACACGGGATGCAGCTATCTCAAGCAACAGTTTATACTGTTGCATCACAACATACCCTAAAGATCTCCTAAAGCCTTAATCATCTTGTCTGAAGAGAACTCTTCACTTATTACCTTGTTTCTGGCCATTCTTCTTCTTATGATATAGCTCAACCTTTAGCTTCCCAGAATTTTTGGACAATTTATAACAAATGCAATAGTTTATTTGAAAATTCACCACTCTATCCTATTATGTAGTGCTCTTATTTTGACTGCTTCAAACCAGAGTATTTTTAAGCATGTCATGCTTCCCTCGGCCTCTTCTAATCTCTTGATCTATGTGCTTTTTTAATGATGAAGTACAGTAGTAAAGATTTCTAGATGTGCATCCCACCTGCTATGGACTGAATGTTTCTGTCCTCCCCAAATTCATGTTTAAGCCCCAACCCAATTTAGAGATGAGGCTTTGCAAGATAATTAAATCATGAGGCGGTGCTATAAAGAATGGCTGTAGTGTCCTCAATAAGAAGTAACATGAGATTAATAAAAGATCACCCGACTTGTGAGGACACAGCAAGGAAGTTTATTTCCATAGCTCAGAGGACTGGCCTCACCAGAACCCAACCATGCTTGCACCCCAAGTTTCAGGTTCCAGAACTCTAATAAATAAATGGATGTTATTTAAGTCACCAGGTCTGTGGTATTCAGTTATACAAGCCTGAGTTGAGAAAGCACTATTATATACATATTTATTATGAGTTATATGCATGTACTACTCCATTAATACATTATGTACATCATAATGTACACACAAAAACATACATTTTAAAAGAGAGTTTAAAAGTCAGTGGAAATTGAGCTTGCCATGTTTCTGTTCCCATACCCATCTTATCATCATACACAAGCTTCAGATTTGAGATTACCCTCCTACACAACAGCATCCAAGTCTGAATTTCTAAGAAGCCAGGAAGAGTAGGATAATAAAATAAAGAAAAGCCTGAGAATTTCCTTTTGTTTTCCATCTGTTTTGTGTTGGTTAAAACCCAGAAGTATTACATCAGACGCTTCTTTTTCATTCAACATGTAGTAAACACATGTCATCATAGAAGAGACCTACAATAGCACAAAACTCATATGTTCCCTTTGTCTTTCACGGAATCTAACTGGGCGGGTGTGGGGGGGGGGCGGAAGTCCACGGATAAAGTCAATCTCAATTCAGGGTACAAAAAATAAGCATTGGTAACAATTGGCAGTGGTTGGCAGAGACAGCCAAGGGGGAAGTTCCAGCAGCCCAAAGAATGATAGATGGAAGAGATGGAAGAAGGTAAGATGGAAACTGTCCTGGGTTGGTGTGGAAAGACTGGGCTGAAAGCAGAGAGTAGATGAGGAGGGCGGTTGATGTCACAAAGTAGACGAGTTAGACAATCCGCAGCACCAACAAAAACCTCACTTGGCTCACAGAGAAAGCTGAAGATGATTGTAAAGCTTTATAAAGGGGGTACAAGTCAAAAGAATGCTTGAAGACCATGATTGGGGTTGCTTGTGTGGAAATACAGAGAAATCTGAGTGGAAATGTAGCCACTAGCTAAGACATGCTGTTTTGAGATACAGACTAAGCGCTTGAAGCAGTGGAGGGGGTGGTAGAAATACATAGAGATGGAAAAAAGAACCAATGGGACATGGAAGAGGTGACTAAGAAGGAAGAAAATGAAAGGAGAGAGACAGTACCCAAACCTTAAACATCCTTGGCTGCTCATGAGACTATTCATCTCAATGCTCATCATTGATCATGATAAGCTGGGAGAAGAACCTTCCTTTGTCTGAGTAGTTCAAAGCCTTATGACCTGGCGGTGGCCTATGTCCTGAATCTTTTTCTTCAGCGCCTTTCTCAGCTTGGGGCTGTTCAGCATCAGGATGGTGGAATGCAGAAACAGGCCGGCATAAACAATCACTTCCCAGGCCCAAGGCCAATGAATGTAGAATCTTGTGGTTTTTACAGAGTTGATGATCAGTAAAAAGTAATATAACATGTGGAAGATGAGGAAGCAGGCAAGCGATTTCAGAGCCATGATGTGAACCTGGGTGCTGGGATCCTGAGGGCCAGGCCTGTGGCCCTTCATCTGTCTCAAATGCCGGCACAGTGAGTACATGAGAGAGATGGTGGACAACAGGAACAACAGGAATGGAATCGACAAGAAAAAGGCTTCGTGGAAAATAAAATACTTGAAAAAGAAGGTATGCGACCCATAATCCAGGGTGTTGTTTCCATAGGAACTCTGAGAGACCGTCAGCTGAACAGTAATCACACTCCCAAAAAGTGATGAAATGGATGACAGCACACATATGATCAGAGAACCCAGCAGCATCCTGGACCCTGATCGAGAGATCCTCCACTTGAGCCAGAAGAAAATGGGGTGGGAGAAGGATGAGATCTTCACGCAGTAGAGGAGGGCAAGGCAGGCAGTGAGCCAGAAAGTAAGACTGTTGAAGAAATTCCAGAAAGTGTTTAAAAGTATAAACACATGAGAAAAATTGAAGGAACTCAGAAAGTTGTTCAGAGTGGCTGTCATATGTATGCAGAATCGGGACGCAGCCAGGCAGGCCATGATCATTTCGCCTGTGGGCAGTGCCCGGCACCTCACCCACTCCCTGCCCAGCGTGGTGACTATGAAGCCATTCTGCAACATTGAAGCCAGTGACTCCAGGCAAAAGATGACCATGAAGATGAAGGTGAAAGACATCTTCTCTGGGGAGTCTGCTCAGATTTAGCTCCTACTCCAGAGCACTGAGACACGTGCACAGGGGGAGAACAAATGCTCTGGCCAAACCAACCTGTTGTGAGCAAAGACCCCGAAACGCCTCTCGTTAGATTCATGCCAAATCCCAGCCAACAGCAAACACCCCCAGTCCACTGGGATTTGAAAAAAAGATTCCTGCCATCTCTCTCAGTATGCAAATCACTCCCAGCTCCATGACACCCTGCCTCCATTTGCATAATCAGTATTTGCCTATTCTTTATCAGATTCAGATGCAGGGAAATGTGATCAAGGAACTGGCTGTAAGTGAAAATCCTGCTATTTGCACATGGTTTCTTGAGTGTCCTATTTGTTTCCTAGATTTCTTTCAAAAGATGCTGTTACCCTAATTTCCTTCCCTCAACCACAAAGCTCCCTGTCATAGGCTAATATCCTATAGTCAGTAGTTTCTATGCTTTTCATAAGACCCACCTCCAGAATGGGTAGGATGAAATGTCATCCATATGCATAAGGATTTGCCAAGAAAAAGCTCCTTCACCTTGACCATGCAACATCTGCAACATCACCTTCAGGCTCTAAAGAGTGACAAAGTTGATGAATCCCAATGAGAGGAATGGAAACTGACCAGGAAAGGACATCACAATAGGACTGAGGGAAGCAAGAATAAATGGAAGAGGAACTCAGGACAATGTTGTCCCATGGAGAGGCTGAGCCCATCCTAGAACAATTCTTTTTTTTTTTAAGTATTAATTAACTAATTAATTTGAGTGGCAGAGAAACAGGAGAGAGAAAAAGAGATGGAGAAAAATCATCCATCAGCTGGTTTATTCCCTTAGTGGCCAAAATATATGGAGCTGGCCCAACCCCAAGTTCCATTCTGACCCCCCATATGGGTGGCAGGCACTCAAGCACTTGATCACTCTTCTGCTGCTTGCTAAAAGCTCATTAGTAGGGAACTGGACTGAAAGCAGAGCATCCAGAGTCATGAATCATCACTTGTATCAGCAGCTGGCAGCTTAGCTCCCTGTGCCACAATGCCAAACCCCAACTCAGAACCACTCTTATTGTTGTAGCAAAAAACTTGTTTGAGCACCTTTACAATGTCACACATGATTTTATCTTCAACACCAGACAAACTAAGTGACACTGATAAGTCAAACTAAGTTGACTGATAAGTCAACAAGGCTCAAGCAGTCATGAGGAATGGTCTAGATGGGATGTAAAATGGGAAGGGGGCAGGGAAAACGCCTTTGCACTTGAGGGGGAAAAAAGGGAAAACAAATAAAAACAGAAGGCACATAAGAAAAAAACAGAGATATGGATGGATGAAAGACTAGGAGAGGGAATTCCCTTTTCAAATGTGGCATCCTGGAAACAAGGTTCTCATATGACTCCTTCATATGATCTCACAGGTGAGAACTCTAGGTATGGAATATTTCAGAGAAGGAGCCAGCCTTGTGAAATAGCAAATAAATCTGCCACTTGCAATACAGCATCCCACACTGGCATGAGTTTGTGTCCTGATTGCTCTACTTCCAATGCAGCTCCCTGCTACTGGCCTAGGAGAAGCAGTAGAAGATGGTAAAAGTAGCTGGGTTCCTGCTGCCCACATGGGAGACAAGGATGAAGCTCCTGATTGCTGGCTTGAACTAGCCCTGCCCTGGTCATTGCGGGCATCTATGGGTGAATCTGAAGATGAAAAGTCTCTCTTTCTCTTTCTCCTTCCTTCATTCCTCCCTCTCTCTCTGTAACCCTGTCCTTCAAATAATCTTGAAAAAATACATAAAATTAAGGACATTTGTAGTAAAGATCTGAAGGCAAACAGATTCGGCTAACTCCCAAATGTGACATTTACTTAAATAGCTGCTTTGTTTTTATAAACTCTCAGATTGTCAAAGAGTAGATAATCCAATCTGATCAGTTGTTTTGCAACCCAGCTTTGCTTTAATTTGATTTAATTCTCTGCTGGTTTCCCTCAGGATTCTTCTTGAAGACAGCAGCAATGAGTGGCTCCTGCCTGTTTCACAATGTTTGGTTCTTCTTCTGGGAATGCTTTGGCAAGAGACTCCATGATGTCATCAATAAGCAAGTTGAGACCATGGCACACACGCCCTGTTGTGGCCACATGCAACCAAGTGTACACTGTGTGCTCACTGGCACATTTCATGTTGCATGCAGTCACCAAAACCTGAACTTGGCCAGACCAGTCTTCTCAAGGACGTCACTTGTGCTGCAGTTGACACCTTTGCAAAGCAAGCATTTTCCCTGTTGGGATTTTCTTCCATATGAAGACTGAAAGAGCACCCTTGCCCCAGGCACTTGTTCATCCTCTCTCAGTGTTCCTCTGTGTATGTTTTATAAAGCTTCCAGGTCCCATTCCTAGTCTGCCTTCAAGCAGAACAAGCAGGACAATGATTTCTGTTGTTTACAAAAGTTTGGCACACATGAAATAGCAATCAAAGTACTAGGTGTCATGCATAAAAGTTTGGACCATGCTCCTCTTTTCTAAGAGGACTCATGCCTACAGATGATGCTCAAGAATTATTTTAAATAGCATGATTGGAAGAATAATCTGAATTCCATGTGAAAAGGTGTGAACATCAAACAGATGAGAGTGGGAGGTTGGTTTCCAGGTAGGAGACTCTGCCAAAATTCTCTTTGCTGTCTTCATTTTGGCTCTCTATGTAGTAAAGGGTGTTATTCATTCCCACTTGTAAATTGCTTTGTTTTGTTTCCTATTACTTTCAAAAACCCATCAAATCACCCAAAGATAAATATTTTTCTGGACCTACAGACCACCTTTCAATATTGTACTTAGGGAAAAATCTAGGAAAAGATATTGGTTACAATAGAATTTTAGCTTTCTGAAAGCAACTATAAAAATTTCCAACATACTCAACTATTCAAATATGTAAGCACTTTTGGATAATTACTTAGATACACTTAAATACTCTTTGTTATTTCAGGTAAACATATATAATTTCCTTTCACATAAGTATCACTTTTTTTTTCTAGGCTCAAAGTGCACTTTGTTGGGAGCACTCCCAGACACAGGGCCAGGGAAGTCCAAAATATAACATTTTTAAGCTATTTTTTATTTCATAGTTAGCCTGCAAAGAGATTCAAAGGTACTTATATTCTAATCAAAAATCTTTAGAATAGGTTTTTTTCTTTTTTCTATCTTGCAGCATTTGAACATTTAAAGGAATAAAATTAACCTTTGAAGGAATAAATGAAGGCTCTTTCTGTAATATATAAACTTTATTGTTAAAGTAAACATTTTTTAATGTTCACATCTTCTAAATGTGGATTAAACTCCATGCTTTCTAGGAGTTTCTCAGACACACGGCAGAAGTAAAATTCAAAGACTAGAACCATAAATCATCCTCAGAATAGAGCAGTTCTGTTTATGGAAGGGTACTTCAGAATATTCATGAAATGCATATAACCAAGAAATTACACATAGACTTTTAAAATGCATCCAATTAACTTATTTTTGATTCTATTTTGCCACAATTTTTAAGAACTATCAATTTCAGCTTAATAACACAGAGTAATCAATACGTTCTGTTTATGAGTAAATTTCTTTTTCCCTTGCTTTTGACATGCAACAGTTGTATGTCTTTTGGGGTGAAATGTGATACTTCCTTTATACAGCATATAAGGATGACAGCATGGTAGTCAGCATATCCATCATCTCAAATACTTAACACTTCTTGGTATTGGAAACATTCAAACATCTATTAGCTGATTTGATTATGCAATCTTTGTGCCAACCATCGTTATCCCACTCTGCTACAGAATATTCAAGATTATTCTTCCTATCCAATCGCACCCCTGTACCTGTGTGTTAGTTACCCTTCCTCTTTTCCTCCCTCTCCTCAGAACCCTCTCCAGCCTCTGATAATTACTATTCTACTCTCTGCTTCTGTGAAATCATTTTTGCTTCCATGTACAAATGAGAACATGTACTCTTTGTCTTCCTCTGCCTGACGTATTTCAGTTACATAATGAAACATGTGTGTTTGCCTCCAATGACAGAACTTCATTTCTTATTGTTAAATACCCTTCACTATATGTATATACCACTTGTCCTTTATTCACCCCTTGACAAACACCTGAGTTGATTCCACATCTTGGCTATGGTGAATAGTACTGCAATTAAACATGGGAATGCAGATAATTCTTCAAAAACACTGATTTCTTTCCTTTGGATGTATACTCCACAATGAAATTTATGGATCATATGGTAGTTCTATATGTAGTTAGTTGAGGAACCTCCAAACTGCTTTTCCATAATGGCTATGGTTATTTATAATCCCATAGCAGTGTGCAAGTATGAGATTTCTTCTTTCTCCACATCCTCATCGGAATTCATTATCTTTTTGTCTTTTTATATAATAGCCATTTCCAACAGTGCGAGATAATTTCTCATTGTGGCTTTGAGTTACATTTCTCAGATTATAATTGATCATGAACAAGCAAATTCTCAAAAGTGAAAGTTTGTTTTTTCATGTCCTCTCTTTCTGGAACTGTGCTCATCTATAGCTAGAAAATCAATGAACAAAAAAATGAGATAGACAATCTGAAATCCAGGATGAGGAAGGGGCCAAGGAGATCACTAAGATAAGGAAGTTTTCAGAAAGGTGCCAAGTGCGGGGAAATCCTGAAGAGGCTTTACTTTAAAAGAGAGCTTTTCATGCAGATACCTGTTCCATCCAAAATTATCAAAAAAGATTAGAGAGTGAAAAACAAGCAAAATAAAGCTTTTGCTTCGCCAATAGAAAACAAAAAAATGTGTACAAGAAAGAAATGGCTGGGGCCAGAATTGTGGGTAGTAGATGAACCCACTGTTAACAATAGCAGCATCCCATATGGGTGCTGGTTTATGTCCCAGCTGCTCTGCTTCACATCTGGTTCCCTGCTAATGACCTGGGGGAAGCAACAAAATATGGCCTTGACACCCACATGAAGGACCTGGCCTTA